TGCCATGGTATCACACAGTCTGCTACTACCATTGCCTGGACAGAGATGAAAGAAAACTATTGTATCAGAGATATCCTTCATTGGAATAACTTTGATTCAGAAGTATTAGGTCACAGAACACAAGAGAGAAATAATGTGCTATGACAATGCAAAGTTGAGACCCTGTGTTTCCCTGTATACAGGGAAATGTCAAGATCTGTTTTTTCTTGAGGACTGAAAGAGTGGAAAGTGAATGAATTATAATAGTATGAGGCACAAGAACAGGTGCTGAAGGAACAGCAGGGACTGAACATACAGAAGAAAAAGATGAGCTGTATTAGTGAGTTACTGTACCAAGAAGAGTCATTTATACCATGACTGTACACACCATAAATTAGCAAATAAGCAAAAACTTAAATTTTAATAGAAGTTTGAACTACAGAATTATTATATTGAGAATCACAGAATGGCCTGGGTTGAAAGGGATGACAATGTTCATCTAGTTTCAACCCCCTGGTATGTGCAGAGTTGCCAACCACCACACCAGGCTGTCCAAAGTGTTGGGTTCAATGAACTTCTGTGAATGTTGAAATCATGTCCCCATGAATTGCTCAGTACCAAGCAGCTTCAAGGCTAAAGGTCTTGGATATGAGAGAACGTGAAGGCTTGCTGGCCACACACACTCACAGTTTCAGGGCTAAGATCCAGAGTTCTAGAAGTCAGGAGTAGAGAAGTTCTGTTAGGCAGGATTCTATCCGAAACCAAAAATAGTAAGCACCCATGTTTTGCTCATCAAAATATATTCTTTTCAGCATCAGTGTTGACATTCAAAGCCAACTTTTCCAGGTGGTTTCAGGACTCAGGAAAGATTTAAGTTGTATCAGTCTTATTTGGATCAATGGGAACTTTTGGCGGACTGGCAGTGAGGAAAAAGGTACAAACTTAAAAACGTAACTGAGCAAGCTACTAGAAGAATTACATGATGACTTTTAATTCTTATATTTATTTCATCCTACCACAAGGTTAATGTCCATGCTGAGGTTGTTCCTCCAGATTCTTTCTCTTTTTAAGTAGAGAGAAATAAACACTTTTGTGGTCTGAATCATGCCAAACTAATGTAGATGCCAAAAAATAAGTTGGCTGAATTGTACCCCAAAAATGTTTACTTCTCTTCTTAAGTTCTAAAGGGAGCCCAAAGGAAGAAGCTCAGAAATGGGTATCTCCACTGTAGTCTTCTAAAATCAGAAGATTTAAATTCCACCTGAGGAGATGGCTGTCCACTGTCCCATGGAACTTGAACTGCTGTATCCAAAGATATGAAGAATAATTGAAAACAGCATGTAACAATGGGGAAAACAATATCACAGATAGAAATGTGAAGTCTACAGAAAAGAAAATGGCAAGGAAAAAAAGAGTGCAAAACTTAATTATATTACTGGATATTTTTATTTAGTAGAAAGAAGAGTTCCAAAATTACAAATCTACGTGCAGGAATGTTTTACTTTGTACCAGTGCCTATGCATATGAGTAGAATGTCCATCCCTAGAGCCACACACACAAACTCACTCATTGAATTTAATTAACATGCAAGTGCAGCTATGTTCACACGTGGGAAAAATACCATGAGTTTTGATTTGAAAGGGTATCAATCTTACTGTGCTGTGCTAGTTGTTATACATAAAAAAAGAAAGTAGTAAAGGAAGAGATTAAAGTGGGTTGACAAAACATACTAGAAATATCACTTTCTGCTAATGCATTCTTTGGCAGCACACCAAGGTTAATATTAGGTCTTCTTCTGAAACAAAAGGGTCTCAAAATCTTCACTACTATTTGAAATGATATTTGAGTTAATGCATCTAATTCTCATTTCCCACTGATTTTGCACAGTTTTAAGGCCAATGAAATACAAATGGGTTGCTCTATCTCCCTCCCACAGGAGACATCTTGTCTTTTCCTCCCCTCTGAATTCTATCACGCTGGGCTCTTACTCCAGCTATAATGTTGTGGTTAGAGCTATGCCTACACAAAAGCATACCAAAACTCTTGAAAGCATCTAGTGATTTTCAGTGACTGGATACACCCTCAGGATGCTTCACCACTCAGCAGTGACTATTTAGCATACATGAACTTTAGCACTGCAAAAGTTTAGTGCTTTAAAAGCTGCCTCCAATTGGGCGTACTTAAATGAAGACAAAATCAATAGTCACTTTTGAAAATTCAGCACACAGTGTCAAATAGAAAGGCTAATTTATTTCATTCTGACATACAAAGTTTTCTTTCATTTTCTAGTGTGTTGGACTAAGTTACTTCCTCTCTAAAATTAGAAATTATAAAAGCATTAATTTCTGTAAATTCAGTCACTTTTAGAGATCAGAAATTGCTCAGCCTCTCACAAAAAGGCTGGGTGCAGTTATGTAAGAAGACAAGCGTGTTGATTCATACCAATTATACTATACACTACTTGGAAGAGCCTGCACAAATTCTCCCCCTCCTCCAAAAACAAATCTAAATGTAGGAAAGAAGATTCTGCATGCTATGAAACAGTCTTTCCATTGTACAGCTGGCAACATTCCCACTGTTTAAGAGTGAATGAGCAAACTCTAAGAACATCAGTCCTAACCATTCTCTATTTCTCTTCTGCTGAGCATAACACTCACCAACCTAAAGGTTAATGGGTCATTTCATTCAACTCCACTCTGTGCCTCATATATATATATCAGCATGAAAAACAGATTTGCTTTTGACCAAGCTTTCAGGAGAGTGATGTGTAATTAAATCATTTGCAATAATCAGGTTTCTTTGTAAATCACTGAACGGAACAGCATTGGTAAGTCCTGAAAATATGATAAAGCCTTGGTTTGCTCTCTGAATAGAGGATTACTATTTGTACTATAGAAATGGTTAGAGCTGCTTAATTTATTCCTTATAAACCAGTGGCTTATTTGAAAGATCCCTACTCTCACCCCTCCTGAAGAATCACTCTCATTAGCTACTTCAAGGGAGAATCAAGCATTCGCAGTGCTATCACTCCTTTTTCTTTCAGTCATCTAGACCTTTTCTCTGCTGCCCACAGGTTTTCTACTGGTTTCACATTGTAATATGCAATGTCATAGAGAGACAAGACTAATTCATCATGTCTTTTTCCCCTCACCATTCCATTTTTTCCACACATCCCCACATCCTGCTAGTACTGGCATGTTTCTAGTCAGCTCAGAAAAGAGCAGCCCCAGGTCCACTCATTGGTACATCTTTCCTTGTCTGAGGGCTCCTGAGCAATGCCTCAGTCCTCCACAACTTCCCCATTCTCTCCACCACTCCACCAACAGCACTGTTCCCTGCCTCTGCTCACTACTTACAAAATTTTCTGACAACATTTATCAACTTATCTCCTTTCAGCTTTATCCCTAAGACACATCCCTCCCTGATGGCAAAGCCAGAGACTGGCAATTTTAAGGTATTTAACTTTATGAAGACTACACTGAAGGAACTCCCTGCTGTTCTTCAGGATACTTATCAAAGATTAAGAAATCAATGAAACAGGGTCAGTGATATCACATCAAGGATGACACTAAAAGGAAATAAATTAGTATATATTCTAATTAGATAAGAAGACTGTCTTATTTCATCAGCCTTCAGACAACATGGAGCACTTTAATCAGCATCTTGAAGCTTATTCTTCCAAGCATCCAACTCCTCCCTCTGCTGTCATTGAGTGAAGGAAGCAGTCCGGAGGAAATTCCCCTCTTGCTCCCCTTTCGGCCAGGAGTTGATTTATGGGACCGGCTCCACGTCCCATCGCCAGCCTCCTCGAGCACGGACCGGGGGAAGGGAAGCTCTGGCGGCGCTCCCTTTCCCGGTTCAGCACCGGGCATGGCTGTCCTCACCTCGGTACTGCTCTGCTGCTCTCGATAATGACTCAGTTCTCCAGAACACGCAGTTTGAGATAAAACGCTGAACCCAGTGCATATAGCAGCTCCTTCCCCATTTCTTCCCTTGGGAGAGGTCTCGTTCCTTTGCAATGATGATCTTTAAACATTATTTCATTAAGAATAAGGGTGAATGAGTGCATTGTTCCAGGTAGTAGGAGATGCTGAAACACCGCATGTAGAATTCTGAAGGAACTGTGATCCACACAGAAAAAAAAAAAAAAAAAAAAAAAGCCGGGAAATTCAAGCACCCAGTTACCCAGTTCCTCCTCCCCTTCGTAAGGCAGCTGTTAGGCATGAGGTCGGACAGATGCAAGATGATACAGTTGTGCATCTGGCTTCACAGCTCTCAAAGCAAGGTTTTGCTGCCCAGAACATGGGGCAGACAACACAGGAGATCATTTGGTCATTTTCCTAGGACCTGGTATCAGAATGCCTCAGAGAGCCTACTCAGGGAGCTGTGGGCACCTCGGGGTCACAGCCCTGTGTGTGGATCTGACAGAAAAGGCGGAGGGGAAAAGGGAAACCCGAGGGGTATGATTGGCAGTGCTGTGGTTGGAGGCAGGTGTAACCTGCCCAGCAGAGATGAGAAGCTCCACGAAGCACAAAAAGCCACTTCTCAGCACATAAAGGAAAAAAGAAAACAACTACAGACATGACTCAAAAAGAAGGAAAATACTTTATTTTAGTCGGAGGGCACATGAGCATAGAACAACAACCTCGTGAAGGACCGCGGCGAGCTCCAACGGGCAGTCCGGAGCCGGAGCTCCACTTCCCACACGCCTCACCTCAGTGCTCCGGACAAGTTCCTTCTTCCCCCCGTACTTCCGAGCACTGTTTAAAACGTGCCATCGATCCCCCCAGCAGCAGCAGCTCCACAAGGAGCGAGCAGTACCTCATTAAGAGCCTCGCAATGACACGCACTCGCTAGAGCAGAGCACAGCCCGGAGGGACCCGCAGCGCACTGAGCGCCCGAGGTCCCGCACACATCCCTGTCCGCACAGGGACAGAAGGAGACTTTCTGAGTCCCACAGACGGGCTCTTCCCCTCAGAGCAGGGCGCCCGCTAGGCTCCGGGTTCCCACTTCTACCTTACCTGAGTTCCTGAGCTTGCGGTTCTTGAAGACGGACACGATGACCAGCAGGTTGCCTAAAATATCCACCACGGTGGTGAAGATCAGCACGCTGGAGAGAGCCGTCACCACCCAGGCGGGCCGCGGGGCGCCTCCAGCCGCCGCCTCCCGCTCCGCCGAGCCGAAGTGACCCCGCCCGCCCGGCTCGCAGCAGTTCCTCAGAGATCCATTCTCCAGCATCGCTGACGCCCGCCGACCGCGCGGCGGCCCCGCTGACTGGACGCGCGGGCGGGCGGGAAGGCTTTTAACGGCCCCGCCGCGCGCGCTGCCCCTCCCGCTCCCTGCCGAAGTCGCCGGGAAAGGTCCGGGGCGGGGCTAAGCGGAGCCCCGAGGGGGCTGGGCACGGCCCGGGGGCGGGCGCTTCACCTGGCGCACGCCCACGGCGCCCGGCGGCCGCCGAGAGCGCGAGCGCGAGCGGGGCGCGGGGTGAGGTCTGGAGAGAGGAGAGCGGGTACCGCTGCGCACTGGGGGCTGTGAGGCGGCAGCGAGTGCAGGTGGCCGCGCTTATTAACTCCGCTGAAAGGATGAGAGCCCCGCTCGCTTCGCCCAGCTCCGGTTCCCTCAGCCTCCGCTGTGGTGAATCTCCGCTCTCCGCGGCGGGCTTTTACTCCGTGCCGTGTGTCAAGGCTGGGGAGCTCCGTTCCCCTCGCCGATCCCGCCGGGCTCAGCGCTCCCAGGCGGGATTTCCCCCGGCGCCTGTGATTTCCATGCTCCATTGCTACGCACAGTAAGCTGTAAGGATACAGAACAGCAGGGGTTGGAAGTGACTTCTGGAGATCATCGAGTCCAACCCCCTGCTTTTGATGGGTATTGAATATCTGCAGAGTAGAAAACTCCACAACCTTTCTGGGCTTCCTGTTCCTGTGCTGTCATGCTCACAGTAAATTCCTCCTTGTTTTTCTATGAAAAACTATGGTGTTCTCTACACTTAATACTAAAATGTCAAATTTGACCTAGACTTTTATATATTCCTGTACTTGCTGATGTGCAGTAGGAACACTGAAACTTATTCAAACATTAAAGCATGAGAACTGGTGGTGCTGGGCTTGCAAGTCTCTTGATTTATAATCTCTACTCCTCTGTTTGTCAATATGAGGCCATCTTGTCCTGAGGGTGCTGTGTGAGACTTCTGCCCCTCCCACCATGAAAGAAATTGGTGCATATATGATTAATGACATGCACCATGGCCTGGGAAATTCACATCATGAAGATAAAGCAGTCCTGTTTAATTTATAGGACTAGCTTTGCCTATAATTAATAAAGGTGATGCATCTGGGTTACAGATGTGAAAAAAAACAACCACAAAAACACTTTGTAGAGGCCTTGTGCTTGCATTTGAACAAAAGTCTAGCAGATTAAAACTAAGGACAATGCCTGCAGGTGGCAATGACTGTAAAAGTTACAGGTGGTGCATGCAATGTGATATCTCTGAACCAACCAAAGCTTTGGAAAACATGCATTTCAGATATGTCTCCTTTCAAGCTCCAGGAGTATTCAGTGGGGCACAGATGGACTTCTATTGGAGATCAAGTTTGAAATGTATAGTTTGATTTGAAGTCCCCTCGTGGCAGATGCCATATGCTCCTTTGCATCAAATAAACAGTAGGAATCAGATGTGTGGTACAAAGGAGCGCGTACCTGCATGCCTTTGTGTCTGGCTTCCAGCATGGCTGGCACAGATACCAGGCACCACTGACAGTGTTGCTATCATCATGTGCTGACAATTAGGGCTGCTCACAGCAAACATGACTGAGAAGCATCTTGTGTCCTACTTTATATCATTTTCAGGGCAATTGGATCCTTCTGCTTCCAGTTTTGCCCCACTTTTGATAATGATGTTGAAGATCAGCATCTGCAGAAGAAGCTACTGGGTAACTGCATTCTGCCTTTGTGTTCACTCATCACAGAGAGAGGTATGCCCTATCATTTTTCAGGAATTGGATCTTGAGATAGCCAGCCTCTGTTTATTTGCAAAAACCAGGGGGCAAGCTTCTGTCTATTCTAACAGCACATAATGTATTATGGCACATTGCTTCTTTGAGACTTACCTCTGCACAAGTGTGCCCTGCTTTATTTAAAATACTACAAATTATTCTGGAGACCTCTTTTTCCAACTTAAAGTAGTCTTTTGTTGTTTGATTAAATGTATTGCTAAATGTAGTCTTGGTTGGAACCAAGATAAGAGTGCTCATGTAGATTTTTACACCAGTCTTATTTGCAGTGATTTTAAAAAATTTATACCTCAGATATTTTCTACTTAATGTAGGCAGTATGAAGTACATAAAGCATCATGATCCTTTTTAAAATACAGATGGAGTTATCACGGCTTCATGGCTTGAACCAGAGAAGGACTATCTGCTGAGAAGTATCACTTCTGAATAGTTATTTTGCAGTTCCATCATTGCTAGAGGAAAGTAATTGCACACTTGACAGAACAGACTTTCTTGAGTAAGCAGCAGTTTACTTGATTTTTCTTTTCCTTCCTTCTGAAATGTAAAAAGAAATTTATCCAAGGAAATGCCCATTTTCTGTATTCATCAGTGCAACTTTTTTTTTTCTCCAGTGACTAGTAGTCTTCCTGTAAAAGGAATTGTTGCATTATAGTGTCTCTCTTTATCTACCTCTGTTCTAATTTACTTTTTCAGAAAGTTGTTATTGTCAGTGCCCATTGTCGATGCACTCTAGTCTTATTGATGAGGCAGTACAGGCACTGTCTTATTTTGGAGAACATACAAATATTATCATTGGTTTACATGCCTCGGGCTCTTTCTGGGCATCTTTCCAAGTTCTATATAAGTGCTTTTAGGAGAAATTTACCATATTGTTATCTGTGTGTTAGTACTACGGAATTTATCTTTAACTGTTAAATGCTTAAATCGTCCCTGAGCATAAATGTGACTTTTAAAGATGGACTTTACTCCTGGCATTCTCCGAGTATTGAGTTTGTCCACCCAAGAATAGTGCTTTGTATTTTTCCCTGCCACACACAATTGTTATTTATCATTGTTCATTATGTTTTATAGTTCCTTATAGTTTGCCAAGTGATTGAGAGAAAAATTAGAAAGCTATGGTCTGAACTTGGCTTCAAATATGAACCAGTTGCAAAATGTGTAATAAAATAAGTGTTGGTGGTTGTGTAATAACAGTCTGTCCTTTGTGGTTGCCCTGGCATTTGACAGTGCGAAAACAGGTAGGTAGGAATCAAATGCCTCAGCATCTCTGAAAAGCAGGTTCTTCATCTGATCTGAGCTCTCACTCTCTTCATTTTTATCAGCAGCATAAGTTGGAATTCTTATACAGTGTTACCTATATAAAGATAAGTTATAACAAGTCTGATTTGCTTTTTTGAATGGTTGCTTAAACTGCCTTAAATACACAGTGGATATTTCTATTTAGCATTTTAGAAACCTCATTTTAAATAACTAAGTTATCTCCTGAAGTGTAATACATCTTTAAACAGATTGATTGTTACAGTTAATAAGGAATGGAAGTAATGGAACTAATGGAAGAAAGCACTCCATGTCAAACTAAGTTTGGGGATTTTCTCTTCTAATTCTTAGTCTAGGAAAAGTAATTATGTTCTGTATTTATTTCTGAAAGCAATCCTAAAAATTTCCTAAATCAAACTGTATTTGAGCCGCAGGCTAAGACCGGGAATCACCGGTCAAAATATTGGATCATTCTGCAGCCAGAGACTGTGCTCTCTTGTTTGCCTTTTTTTCCCCTTTCTGAAGACAAGTGGCTGCTTCCTAGAGATACCTTTGTGCTCTTTGTTTTCTGTGTTTTCTTGATTTGATGTTTTTGAAGGGACTTATCTCTAATTGGTTGCAGAAATAAAAACTCTTCATGAACAGGAATGAAATTTCAGAAGACAGACGTTCCTGCAGGCAACATCTCTTGAATTTTGAGTAGCAGAAGAAATTGTTCTGCTATGCTTGTTATGTTATCACACGTTTCAACAAGACCGAAGGGCACTTAGAACTAAAATGCCCAGTTCCTACTATTAATTATATCAGCTTGAGTTGGCCATTTTCACAGTGTACACCATGGCTGATATTGGAGTTTGGGCTCCTGCATCACTTCCATTACTATCCAATTTTTTTTTTTTTTAATTTAAATATTTGTCTATACATGTTTGAACTACTTCAAGTCCCAATACCACTGGCTAAATGAATCCCTGTTTTCTTTCACTGCTGATTTACTGTGAGCCTGTACAGAAAAGTTTGTATCTCTTTAAGAAAGGAGAGTCTGTCTTTGCAGAAACAGAGATTTACTTGTATTTTCAATGCAAATTTCATTTTTTCAATGCATAATGTTAATATTTTTAGACACAAATCTAATAGTGGGGAAAGGTTCATTTTGTTGTCCGTAATTTTCCAACCCATTTTTTGTACCTGCCAGAAATTGCTCATAAAATGAGATGTCATCTAATTTTCAATAATTTATTGATATTTCTTTCGGATAGATCTTCCATGGCCCATAACAGAATCCTTATGTCATGAGCTGTCAATAGAAAGAGTTTTCTGGTTTCAAAACTTCAATCTAAATAAATTGGGCAAAACAAAGAAGTGAAGACTGAAGGATGCATCTCATTTCTCTTTAGCTACTTAGTAGTAAGGTTGTCATCTGTCTTGTCTCTATGTCAATTGAGAGAGTTGTGGAGAGAGCTGTAGCAGAGTGGAGAGAGAGGAGGGAGAGAGTTGGAGAGAAAGAAATGTGATTCCAAAGGACAGTGCATGTTCTGTCATCACTGAATATCTGGAATGCATTACCTTGTGCCAGTCATTCTGCAGAAACTGTAGGCAAGCTTTTATGACCAGCTTAGATCAGATACTTGACTGCAAGGTGTTTAAAGATTTAAGTCCTTCTTGCTGAAGATCACTCTGAGGAGCTGTAGCTTTAGCAGGGCTGAAACAAAACCTTGTTCTCTTGATTCTGATTCAGTGTCAACATTTCAAAGCCATCTGATCTCTAACCATGCCACCTATTCCACTTTCTGTATTGTTTAGTGTAAGCATGTATATACTTTTTCTGTATACTTCCACACAAGCAACTGTTACTATTCGGCTTCTGGGAATCTTCTGCCAATTTGTGCGGTGCTTTTCTAACATGAAAGTACTGGGCTGGCATGGAAGAAACTGATTTTCATTCCTGACCCATTCCTATACTTGAACTTATATTTTTCAGGAGTGAAAGGCTAATT